GCGTGGAACGGTAGTACGAGTAAGAGGCGTGCAGTTTTTTAAGCAAATTTCGCGAACAGAGCCTTCCCGTCGAAAAAAAAAGCACTGTCTTTTATGAACGTAGATCCAGATATCCCAGATTTCGGGCAAGATTTTTATACATTAGCCCAGATGTTTTGACAGCACCCAGTAACAGTTGAGTCTTTTGCTAACAGTTAGGAATTCAACAACCGTGAAATAAAGAGACAAGTGCAGGGATGCCCAAAGTCCCGTCCAAAAGCGGAGAGGCACGGCGAGTGAATGCAACATAAAATTAGGCAGCAGCTAGCCAAGGAATTTGCTCTTTTCTCGTAGCATACAGGTTGATGACTGTTTTCTGTTTTGTTGTTTACGTGAACGTGCCAGTATCCGCAAAACTGATTTGGCATGTACAGAGCTATAATTTAGAGTGCTTTGAGATCTCGATGTGTAAACAACAATGTTCCGTTATCACGAAGCCTTAATTATCAACGCAAAATATCTTGTTGCATTCATTACACTTTTTAACCAGTAAATCCTTTAATCACTTGCATTACTGCCTTGTTTTCTAAAGAAAGATGTTGTCTCAGATTCCTCCGCTTTCTAAAGACCCCTGTCCTTGCCACAGTTATATCTTTGTATGTCAAAGTGAAACTTGGGCTGATGAAGCCGATGTATCACTTGACAGTCCTAATTGCACTTCGATATGACATTAAAAGAAGAACAGCGTTGATTACATGACCCGATCAAAACAATTTAACTGACTCCCATGTTCTTTGGAATCCTCACAACTTCTTCACGAAATATCTCAAAGCAATTTAAACAGGGCTTCTGCCTTCAGGCAAAGCGAGGTTCACCCCAATGTTTTCAGTTTTCCCAAAATACAAACGTTTTTTTTATTGCACGTGCTACTTCATGAAAATTTCTTGATTCAATTGTTTTACACAGAGCCCGGTAACCTTTTGAGCAGGAAGGCGAAATTGGGGGAAGCCGACAAGGCTGGGAGCCACGTGGGCAAATCATGGAGAAAGGGGGGGGGGGGGGGTTGTTCTACGGGCCACGAAAATAAACTCGGCGAATGGACAATAATGCCCGAAACTACCTAGGTTTTAATTGTGTTTGGACTGAATTCTAGCTAAGTTTGAAAATAAGACCCAATGCCGAACGGAAGGGATGTTTTTTTTGGCCGGGGGGGGGGGGGGGGGAGTCTGACTACGCTTCAGGCTGCAAAGTTCATGTTAGCGACCAGCGGAAAGAGGCGTGTTTGTGATTGTGATTGTCTTTGTACGGCAGCAGCAGTTATCGTATGCCACTGGCGTCGCCTCACTCATGAGTAACCTAGTGTTGGATAGATGACCGGGGAAGCTCTCTTGGAGGCCAATAATGGTTGCGGAGAATAATACAATAATGAAATTCCGCACATTAACGTTTGATGTAGCCTAAGAAGTTACAAAGACAAATCATCGTTATACATTTGGCTCGAGCGCACAGTTGAGTGATGAATAAGAAAAAGAAAATAAAGGAAATGACGGTATCGCTGATAATTTTATACAACTCTCAATGCATAAATTATCTATGAAAATGACTGTTACGACAAACACACATGAGGTAAAGAAGCAGCGAAAGATTGATAAGTGAAACGTCCTCTACTGAGACTGCTACATATTTCTTTTACCTTTCTCAAGTTTACACTATCGCTTATCTAATACAACGTAAATACAGAAATTAAAGAACTGATATTGAGAGCCGAAAATGGCATTGACTGCTCGCCCAGCCTGCCACACAAAGGTGCGAGCTCGGCTACAGCCCAAAGTGAAAAAAAAATCTCTCGGGTGTTCCTTGGGTCGAGATGTTTTACTGCGGAGTTCTATAGCGTTCGGTCTCGAAAAAAAAAGTGTTTTGAGGGGGAGTCTTCTTTACCGCGACTCCCATATCGGAATTCAATAAATGAAACTTAAGTCATGACAAGTTTCACGATTTTGTCGGTATATGGGTGATATGCTTGTGCAAACAGTTGTAGAGTGGCCTAGCACGATACAAGTGACTTGAAACGCGTCTGAAACATAGGACCACGAAGTTTACAGCATCTTTGTTTCGTTTGGAAATATTGATCACTAAGCACCACACAAGTGGTTCTTTTTAAGAGCGAAGCTTTATAGGGTGTGCGTCTGTCCTTCCTCCGTTGGTGTATGTAGCCACCAGCGACTCATACCCGTTCTAGAGTGAGTAAGTGCCACAGGGGATGGGAGATGGGAGATGGCGGTATCGGAGTGTTAACTAGATGGACGCACGGACGGACGCCTAGACGGATCGACGAATGGAAGGACGTGCCGACGAATGGACGCATGAACGGACGGTCGCGCGGACGGACGAAGGCAAGAACAAATGAATGGACGGACGGAAGCAGGGACGGGCTGACACGCTTCGCCCCACTTCATCATCATTCACTACGTCTGTATAAGGACTGAAAATTTGGCCAGTTGGTGACAGTACTTGTTAACATGTCACTTGCATGCTCAGCGTATATCATTTAACATGTCTTTTGACGTGCTCCCAGACGGACTAAGCGCCTCCTTAGCGGCGTTTCTAATTAAAGCGTCCTATTTGTAATTCTTGTGAGTGTATAAAAAGTGGTTAATGATTTAGGGCCAAACAACGAAACGTTCCTTTCCTCAGTAAGGAAGCCTTCATTTTATGTGAGGCCAGCCTTATGTCACTCTGAAAGCTTTCCTCACTGAGGAGCCCTCAGTGAAAGGCTTCCTTGGCGCTTCCTCAGCTTAAGGTTCGCTTTGGGGCTACCTTCGTGCGCCCTTAGGTCCGCTCCTTGCCCTGAACGAGCGCTTCGCCTCACAGCTAGCCTACGTGATGTTTATCGTTTTCGAGGCAACCCTCCCACCCCACCTCTGCGGGGAGACGCGAGCGGCGAGCGTGCGTGCACGGTGCCAGGCACGACGGCGCGCAGTAAAACAAGAAATGGCGTCGTGGGCGGACGGGAGTGCGGATGACTTCAGGGATTTCTTGAACCGCGCTTGTCAATTCGCCTTCGGAGAGGTCTACCGGTATTCACCGGCAGTGAGGATAGTTCGCGATTGCGGTCAACCCCATGGAATTCTACGATGAAGAAGATTTTTCATTCAGGTTTCGTTTCACCAAGGCGTCCTGTCATTGCAATCATGTCGGAACTGCAGTTGAAAAAGAACACGGACCGAAGGGGAACCCCGCTCCCACCGCTGCTGAAGGTGCTCATCACGCTTCGGTTTTACGGCACTGGTGCCATGCAGACAGTGGTTGGCGACCTCGTACGCGTCTCACAGCAGTATGTGTCGCGTTGTGTCTGGGAGATCACCCAGGTCATATGTTTGCGGCTGTTTCCCAAATATGTGCGACTCCCCGATTGCAGCAGACGCGATATGCTGTGATGGCCCCGCTTCTACGCAATTGGCCTGTTTCCAGGTGTAACGGGGGTATAGACTGCACGCACGTCCCGATTGTGAGCCCTGGAGGTGAGAACGCCGAGGTCTTCCGCAACCGCAAGTGATACTTCTCACTTAATGTGCAGTAAGTGACGCCTTCGTCTCTTTTTTTTTCTTTCTTAACCTGTTGTATGTGTGTAACTTTTCCGACAGCGTTGTATAGACGCACGTTTTCAAATGCTGTGCCGTTGCTGTTAGAAATGGGGTTACTTTTGTTGCACATGCCCATGGTGAATACACACCATTCAGGTACCACTGTCCATTGCCAATTTTTTCTTTTACATATGAAACCGTACAGCTTCAGAAAGGTACTCCATGAATGTCACTTTCTTTTAATCGCCATTTTTTAAAGTAGCTTAGCTGGCGTTTGAACATGGTAATGTGATAATCAGTAATGTCGCACCCATGACTGTGTTGTGTATCAGTAACTTAAAATAAATTTCAGTAAATATGCCCATCAATGCACTGAATCTAAAGTGCATAACTGCATGTAGGTTGATAAAAACCAAGGGTTGTGAAGGCCTGTTGTATTAGCCACTTCTTATCCGGGCACAGTGTGCTTAACAGTTGCATGAGGGTTTGTGGTGGGGAAGTGCACATTTTTAGAATTTTCCAAGTTACACACATTGAAACATGGCTGTTGCTTTTCTGTGAAAATATTTCTAAGAAATGCACAATACTTGATTCGCAGGCTATCACTGGTCCCGAGCTCCAATTCTTTGATGTAGTTGCCAGTTGGCCTGGATCTGTGCTTGACAGCAGAATATTCACCAACAGCAGAGTGATGGCTCTCTACGAACAGAAGGCTGTACCTGGCGTTCTCCTTGGTGACCAGGGGTATGCGTGCCTACCATTCCTCATGACACCACTGAAGAATCCTCAAACAAGCGCAGAAAAGAGGTAACAGCACATGAACCTCAGCATGGAAATTATAATAGGTGCGCTACTTGGCACAATAGTACTTGAAGCACTAAAATTGCAGTGTCCCTTATTGAAAACGAGAATAAAAACCTGCCGTTTATAAGATAAATGTCAAAACTTCTTGGAGACAAATGAAGTACCTGCAACTGTAAAGCCCACTGTAAAAACAAAGAGAAAAGGTATTCCTAGCTGCAAACCACTTAAATTTTAAATTTGCTCCCATACAAGCATACACATGCTTTTACGCAGTCTCTGAAACAGGTTTACTGTCTGCGTCCCACAGCAAATTCTTTGTTATCTCGAAAACATGCTTGTTATACGAAAGCATACCCAAGATGTGCACGTGCCAATAATACAAAGGATTGTATTCAAAACACATTGAAAATGAACAACGCAAGTTGTATCTCAAAAACAAAACTGTTTCTTCCTAATAATTGTGATGATGTATCAGTGGCTGTATCTTGACATGTTCACAAATGCTTTTGCACATAGCGCTTGCTGGCTCATGCATGATTTGCACATTCTCTCGTTTTGTGCAGGTACAACAAGAGCCAATAAAAACGAGGAACAGTGTGGAGCTACATTTGGAGTGTGGAAAAGGTCGCTTCGCATGCCTGCGGGTAAAGCTGCTGACGGACACTGATCGGTCTGCAGCTATCATAACAGCATGTGCAGCGCTCCACAACATTGCCTGTTTGCGTAGGGACCCATGTCCACTCTCCGATGAAGCACACCCCGACGTTAATTTACCCGACAACCCCAGCCAAGGAGATCCCGACACTGTTGCTGGTGCACAAGTACGCAGCTGCTACATCCGCCGGTGTTTTTCCTCTGGGAACGAACACACAGGTCCAGTGCAAACCTGAAGTAAGTGTCTACATTCAGGCGCTGTTTCAAAAAGTTATGTTCTGCTCTACGTCGTCTCTCTTCAGTCTGGTTGACTTTAAAGAGTGCTGCATGCATTTATCCAAGCAGTGTTACTTGCACCGCTGTGGTGTTTTCAGTAAATGAAAAATGTACATGACACAGCTCATATCTTCAATGACTTTATGAAAACTTCAAAAATCAGCTGAACAGGCACATGTACATTCAGGACACTACACTTGGTGACGTTTAATATAACATTTGAGAATCTGGTGTGTTATCTCCAAAACAACGTGAAAAGAACTGATGATTTAACAACAGCAAGAAATATACTTATGCTTGCTGTTGCATGTTAATGTGACAAGTTTCGAAAAACATGCTCTCAGATATTCCTTTATTCAGAGTCTGCTTGCCTGCAGCTGTTTTCTTAGGAGCGCCTGCTTCAGTTTCTGTACTTCTTCTTTTTTTAAGATCCGAAGCTTGATTTTGTGCTGGATGTTGCAATTTTTTTTTTGCTCCTTCAAGGCGCTGATTTTGATCTCATGCTCTTCTCTCATACACTCCATTCTTTGATTGTGCTCAATTTGTTTATGTTTTTTATCTGCTTTTATAGCATCAAGGCGAGCCTCGAGTTCTACGTCGAGTGTGTGCTGCAACAGAGACAGCCTGCCTCCGCGGACATTCCGCACACTTGACCCAGCTGTTGGGGCTTCACTTTGTGCACCTGGCTGAGCAGCTTCCTCTTGGCTCATGTCCGCATCGACTTTGGGATCGTCCAAGCATAAGCTATCTTCACCAACCACGGATGGTGTGTGAGAGCTCTGCAGCATTGACTGCATAGCTGCTCTGTCGGTTTGGCTGAGTTCTTCTGTTTGGTCTGCAATAAAAGTTGTTTCATCCATGAAAGACAAGCGAAGAAATGTGAGGAAGCACCTCATGAAACAAATACCAATATTATTCACGGTCTTCGTTTACTAGATGTTTGTATACTTTGAAATGACAATAAACACCATTACCTGCATGCACTGACAACAGCTCACTTATGTATACGATACTGGTGGGGCAGCATGCACAGCACGTGAAACATATTTCTATGCATGAAAGAAAAATTCTAGCGTGATTGGCACAGGCGCTCACCCAAATAATTGAAACAGAGCAATCTACCAGAATGTCATATTTCATTTGTGCATTTCTGCACTGTTAGTAGTTACACAGAAAAGCATAGAGGTTGGCCTCAAGGTTGATCATGCATGTGTACTACTCTGCAATGGAAAAAAAGGAAAGATCGAACAGGGCATTACAGGGTGGCAGTGCAGATAAATCGGACAGGAATCTGCATGCTTTGCCACATCACGACAGCGTGTAAACACAACCGCTTTTCGTGACCTTTGGTGTGCTAGAAACGCCCACGTTGCCTGCAGAGGTTTCTACCTCCGTGGCCGCGCTATCGAGTTCGTAGAAGGCGGCATACCTTCATCACTGTCAGCTGGTCCATTTTCACAGATCAGCCCGTTCAGAATTTCCGACGCGCTTTGGGTGCTGGCGTGGCAAGCGGCCGGTCGCTGTCGAAAGGATTTGGCACCCGCGTGGTCAGGTGCGGAACGATGCCTTCGATCTGCGCGAGCCTTTCATCCATAGGCGGTGGTGGGGGGCCGCCTCCTGCAAATACCCCAAAACTCGTAGCAGCGGCGACCTTTTTACAAAGAAGGGAAACATACCTGTAGTGAGGACGTCACGGATTTGCTTCGCTTTCTCCCGCTTCCACCTTTGCTTCATGTTGTCCCACAGCTTCTTTAGCTGCTTGACGTCCCGAGGGCGCACAAAGGGCCTGCAGTTGAAGTCCGTGCACAGTTTTTTCCCATGCCTTGGCTTTTGCATTGATTGACATTGCGTCCGTACGCTTATTTTCGATGACGGCCTTGTATTTGAGCACAAGGTCCTGGACGAGATCTTTCTCATCTTCGGAGAAGAGGGTTTTTGCAGGCATGTCTGTCCCGTGAAGCGCGTTAAGACTGACTGCGTTATGGCCACTATGACAGCGTTTAAAGAGGCGGGCGTTTCAGTGTTGCTAGAATGCACCACGTTTTGCGCTCGACTACGGTGGCTTTTCACATTCAGTAATCGTAGTTGGAAGAAAGCGTACACGCGTCTCTATATTAACACTTCAATTTGGAAGTGATGTGGTGACCCAACTCTTTTTTACAGTATAAACGCTTGTGAGCAAAGCTTATATTCGATAATCTCGAACGCAGGAGCGCGGCAACCATTCCTCCCGCGAGGACGGGTTAAGGGAGCTTTCAGAGTACGCTTGCTTCCTCCGTCGGTACTTGGTTGTAAGGAAGCCTCACGTAAGGAGAGGACGCGGTCAAAGGAAAGGAACGTTTCGTTGTTTGGGCCTTAGAGCACTTGGCACTCTACTATGGGAGAGCATAAAGCCGTCTCATTGCAAAGAACTCTCTTCTTTAGAAAAAATTTATTTACAGCATGTACAGAACACAAAGGCTTCATACCATTCCAGTAACAGGGCATATACACCTCGGCACATCTATATTTCACGACTAACATCACTACGTTACAGTGAAGACATTTGCTCTAATATACATGACAATGTTGGCATATATGTACACAAGAACTCAATGCAATATCATGATACAATGGTATAACGATACAATAGATGCAATGAAACACGATATGTAACAAATGAAATCATATAAAACAACTCAACGGGCGCTGCTTAGCACCAAGTCGGTTGAAAAATGAGTTGTATCCTTTCGTGTTCCACCTTGACGAAAGGGCACGACCATTGCCGCAGAAACTCTTGCTCCCCGAGGAAGAAAAGCTCCTCGTAGAGGAACGCGAGGATCTCTCGTCTCATTCTCCCCAGTATCGGCCACAAAGCACGCCGGCGGCAATTGGCAGCTACGGCCTCACATCGGTTTCTTCAAAGGCTGAACAGCCCCGCAACTATTAACAGAGCGGAGAAGCGGCTACGCGGAAATCGGCCATTGGACACGAAAGTTCGCACACCCTGTCCCCGAAAACCAGCATTAACCACACGCCAAAAAATGCGGGAAACCACACATTCAAACGTCGCATGTCGATTGGTCTCTAGCATGACGCAGTTAGGGCAAGTGGAAGTGCGAACCACCTGCCATCGCTGCAACCGATCTCGCGTGGGGAGCGAGCCCCGCCCAACCTCCAGACAATGTCTCTGAGATGCCCTGGAAACACTGCGGCAGTTATTGGTTTCCAAGCGCGGTTCATTACAGATTGACGATGCTGGGGCACCAAGGGTCGTAGAAGGGCGGCAATTGTGTCCACCACTTTAGTATCGGCCACCTCTACCTCTGGGCACGTAGCTTCAAAATGTCGGTGAAATGCCAGAAGGGCTCGATACAAAGATTGTAATTCAGTTGATTGGGGACCTTGGTTTATTTGGCTATCCGGCAAGAAGACACGTAGTGATGGCCCCAGATGGTAGCGAGCCAGTGTCTGAGCGGGCATGCCATCATTGCTTAGTATTCGCAATAGAGTGCGGAGGCACAATGTAGAAGCCGTGACGGAAACGTCGGGGAATGCAAAACCGCCTTGATCTCGCGGTTGAGCTAACGCTGGGCGCGATAACAATCCTGTGCCACCAGACCAAAGAAATGAACTGATGCAGCTTTGCACTTTCCTGCAGACGTGGAGCGGTTGTTTAACAGAATGGCAAAGGTACCAAAATTTTCCTAGGTACACCGTTTGAGTTAAGTATCGGCGTTCCAAGAGGGGGAATTCGAAGTACCTGGCTGCTTTGATATCACTTAGAAGAGTTTGTACAACGGATGACCTCCCTTACCATTTAGCATAGCAGCTACGTGCGAAAAATCACTCAAAGTAAATGTGTGAACCAAGCGCATTGCACGTTCTTCTAATCCTCCATGCCTGTTCAAGATCTTTCGCATAAGTGTCATGGCCTCCTGTGCCTTCTTGGTAATACGCTGAATAGTTATATTATTGAATGCATTTGCTTCAACTACCAAACGTGACTTTTTTACCAATGACCCATCGCTAGTGCGAACTAGGATGCAAGTCTCAACTTCTGGTACCCAATTTCAGGGCCTACGACCTGATTTCCTGGATTTAATGATTAACAACTCCGACTTTTTAGCGGAGCACTTGTGTCCCATAAGAGCCAAACAGTTTTCCGAAAGCATTACCACCTCCTGCAGCCTAGCCTCAAGCTATTCATCACTACCACTGACAGTCCATTCCATGACGTCATTCGCGTAAATAGCCAATACCCTTGATAGTGTCGAGTACGTAAGCTAGCTTTGTCATAGCCAGATTGAACAACATCGGTGAAAGTATGGATCCTTGTGGCGTACCACGACAACACAATTTAAAGACTTCGGACTTGATCTCCCCCAACCTAAGAGATGTACTTCCATCCACAAGGAAAGCCTTAACAAAATAGAGAAGCCGTTACCCCAGACTCAAATATTACAGCCCTGTAGAACAAAGGAGTGTCGTTGATTGTCGAAAGCTTTTCCCACATCAAGACCAAATTCTAATGCATTCCTGATGCTTGATTCTGAGCATAGCATCTTGAGTCGAAAGGGTAGGTTCTTAGGCGAAAAGCAGTTAACGCTAGGCGATGTGAACAACAGTCGTTTAGTGTATTGTAATCAACTTTATTAGAAAATGTTTCCTAAGCGGAGATGGATGTCTGCTGCTGCGTCATTTCCTCCGTTAATGAAGTAAACGGCTCCCCGCAGACAGAAAACTTTTGTGCTATTTGGGTAAACTTCCTATGTTACACTTTAATATGGTAAATCTGAGGATGCATGAAATTATTTGAATAACAAAGTTGTGTACCTAACTTTGTGCAGCTGTTGCACTAGTAATCTACAGGCGACATATGGTTCACATCAATAGAATTCTGTATATAACAGGGTCTGCACCCCGAATAACTTTGGAGGTAGTGAAGATGATAGTTTTGGCCTTCACGCTTAACGCTGCGTCGCACAGGAAAGCCCGAACAATCGTAAAATTCTTCAGTGAGCGTCATCTTATGGAAGGTAAGGCCATGCCCCGCCACGGTGGTCTAGTGGCTAAGGTACTCGGCTGCTGACCCGCAGGTAGCGGGATCAAATCCCGGCTGTGGCGGCTGCATTTCCGATGGAGGCGGAAATGTTGTAGGCCCGTGTACTCAGATCGGGGGCGGCTTCTTGCGCACTCATAGTAGAGTACTTCAAATCATTATCCACATTTTCTAAACAAACATGCATAGTATCCACCTGTTATATTATAGTGAGCGATGTGGTCGCGTAAACTCAGACGTTCACTGATAGAGATAGATCTGTGTGAATAAGCATAATTTTACGAAGCATACATCGCTGAGTTCTCCTGAGACAAAAATCAAGTTTTTGGATGGGACAGTGCAGAAGATGTGGTAGGTTAGCAATTAGGGTGGGCAATAGCCAAACTCGAGGATATGGTTCCGATTTAAGGTAGCAGCGGCGGCTCTTCAATAAGCGGGACATCTAAACCACCCGCGCACTTTGACTGTAGTGGTTCTAAAAGGAGGCCAGGTGGTCCTAATTTAGGCCAACATACCTGACGCCATTGTAACTGTATGAAGAATATTGCCTTACAATGTTAAGAAACGCTTGGAAAGGTAGTCTATAGTAAATTTTGCGCGCATCTTGTTTACTTGTGTTGTTTAATTAAATAGCATACTAGTTTTCAGACAAACACCATGACGTCCCTTACGAATGTTAATATACGTTTTAAGCTTCTAATACAGTCTAGGGCTTCTGTTCCGGACTACAGAAAATTTTAAAATAATATTTAGTTCTCTTGAGCTGTTAGAGCTGAAAGAAAAAAAATCAAAGGAGGAACAGGAAGGCTTTTAACATCTGTAAAGAATACCAGGGATATAGTCTTGCTTCAAATGTTGCTGTCTGTAGTTTGATGCGCGGTACTTCTATCGAACGAAAAGCTGCATGTCGTTTAGACGGGCGAAGCTGGACAGAATCCGCTTTTGTTTA